ACTTTTAAAATTTTGATGCCAGATAGGGGCTGGGGAGATGGTTCAGTGATTCCACTGGCAAGCACAAGGGCCTGAGTTCAATCCCCAGTTCCGCAAAAATAAATAAATAAATAAAATAAAATTTTGATGCCAGATGTGGTGGTGTACACCTGTAATCCTAGCACTTGAGAGACTAAGGCAAGAGACCACCACAAATTTGAGGCCATCCTAGGCTACTGGTCTCAACTTCAGCCATTGAATTGCTGAGGCCGGAATCAAATCTGTCATGCTCCTGCTTCAGCCTTGCAGACTGCTGGGATTACACAAGTGTAACAATAAACCAGGTGTGGTGGTACACACCTGTAATCCCAGCACTCAGAAGGCTGAGGCAGGAGGATCCTTGGAGACCAGTGTGAGCTACAAAACAAGCTCAAGTCCAGCCTTAACTGCGTAACAAGACCCTATCTCAAAAAGACAAAGAAACAAAACAAAATGAAGTGTGCCACCATGCCCAACTGAGGAAAATTCAGTTCAACTGAAGTTTACTCTGTCCAGGACAAAAAGAACCATACCTGGAGGATGACCAGAATCTCAGCATTGTTTTTTTCCAGAGCTATGTCAAAGGCTGACTTATCAAACTTGCTGAAAGCATGGACATCAGCTCCATACTTGATAAGCAGCTCTACAACATCCCGATGATGGTGTTCTGTGGCCCAGTGCAGAGCTGTCATCTTCAGCATGTCCTTGGCATTCACATCTGCACCATTCTGTCAGAGAAAAGCAATTCTTAAACAGTGGCAACAGTAGTAGCACAGGTGTGAGATCTCTTCACCAAAACACACAGAATTTCCACAGCAATTCTACATTCTTAAATTCAGATCACATTTAAGGAACATCAAAAGGAAAAACATTTCTGAAATTCTCCTGAATGCTGATAGACATGTTTTCAAAGAGAGGGTCTTCTAAGGATATCTCTGGGAAATTCTAACAGATGGGAAAGGAAGGGAAAAGAATAGCTTTTTATTGCATTTATTAAAGAGAGCTAGCTGAGTGCCTAAAAAATAGGCCTAAGAACAGAGAACACCTGCAGAAAACGAATGAAATCAGTAAAATCTGTTTAGCATTTAAAAAAAACTACAGAACAATTTCCTCATAGCCATGTGGACTCTTGAAAAGAGCTGCAACTCAACACTCTGGCTACACCTTCCTCTTCCCAGCACACTAAGACAAAAGGGAGGCGGAAGACTTTCCCACACAGCCCCCCTCAGTCCTGCTTTACCCTGACGAGCAGCTCCACAATGTGCGCGTGTCCATCTGCTGCAGCCATGTGCAGCGGGGTCCTGTCCACTTTGGTGCGAGCATCCCTGCTAACGCCTGCGCGGAGCAGCACTTCTGCAGTGGAGTAATGTCCGTACTGGGCTGCAAGGTGCAATGGAGATGTTCCAAGCTGTGGAAAGATAATGCACACTGAACAGCTGCTTTGTGCAGCTGTTAACTAACAGGCCTCTCTGAGGTGCCCCGGGCTCTCCTCCACACCGTGTGGTGCAGGGCGATGGGTCTGTGACTGAGGCCGCCTCGAGCAGAGAGGACATGTTGGGAAAAGAGGGAGGCGCTGACCCTCTCTCTGGAGCAAATGGAGCAAAGAAGTCTCCTATGTCTTGCTATGCAACTAAAGCTGCTTTAAGCTAGGAAACCCAGGCCGACCTCCAGTTCATGGCCATCCCCTTGCCTCAGTCTCCTGAGGGCTAAAGGCTCAGAAACCACTCTCGGGATGTCTGGAATCTCACAATAGTCTGCCTTGAACCAGCTGAGTATACAATGAAATCTCCAGTCACTGTCAGTGAAATAAATCCTTAATTCCTTCAAAAAAAAAAAAAAAATTAATGTACTAGAGCCAGGCCTGGTGTTGCAGGCCTGTAATCCTAGCTTCTAAGAGGCTGAGGCAGGAAGAGCCAAGTTTGAGCCCAGGCTGGAAAACCGAGCAAGACTATCTCAAAATTTAAAAATGGGATAGCTGTATACCTCAGTACAAGGTCCTGGGTTTAAAGCCAGTACCACAAAAAACAAGGGGCTGGAGATGTATTTAAATGTAAGGCTCTAGGTTTAATCCCCAGTACTGCAAAAAAACCAAAACCAACCAAACAAAAAAAAAACCCTTAATTTCCAGATAAACATATTACTAAGTAAATAAACAAGTTTAATAAATAAGTTTAAAGTGGCACTGTAAGGGCTGGAGGAGACAGCTCAATGGCAAAAGCACCTGGCTGGCAAGTGCAAGGTCCCGAGTTCAATCCCCAGCACCACAAATAAATAAATAAATAAATAAATAAAAAATAAAATAAAGTGGCACGTTAGTCCTGAGCTATCTCACTGGCCCCCAGAACATGATTTTAATTAGGGCTTTAAAGAAAATAAAGACAGCCAATGACATAGCTCAGTGACACAGTGCCTGCCTGGCAAGCACAAGGTCCTGAGTTCAATTCCTGATACAAAAACAACAATAAAACAAATCAAAAATAGCATGTTGAGGGCTGAAGAGATAGCTCAGAAGCTTAAGCGCCTGCCTGGCAAGTGCAAGGACCCAGGTTTGATCCCCAGTACCACATGCTGTGCCAACATTCTGGGAGTGCCATGCTGGCCACCAAAACAAGCATGGTGGTGCACACCTGTAATCCCAGTGCTGGAGAGGCTGAGACAGGAGGATCACCAGAGTACAAACTGTGTAGTGAGACCTGTACCAAACAAACAAATAAATAAACAATTTTTCTAAGAAATAGCATTTTGAAGGGTGGGCCAGATAGCTCAGTGGATTAAAGGGCCTCCTTAGGCACAGCAGGGACTGGGGTTTGATCCCTGATGTGCCCTTCTGGCCCCAACCCTGGGGCATGCTGAGAAAACAATAGAGACAAGGCATGGTGGTGCACTGTAATCCAAGTGCTTGGGAGACTGAAAATAGGAGGATCACTACCAGTCCGATCTGTGTAGTGAGACCTTGTAGACCCTGTACTAAATGCATTAAAAAAATATTAAATTTAAAATAAATAAATAAATAGTAGCATTTTGAAAGCTAGGCATGGTGGCACATCACTATAATACCAGGAATCAGGAGGCCGAGGCAGGAAGATTGTTTCAAGTTTGAGAGCAGCCTGAATTACATAGTGAATTCAAAGCCAGCCTAAAATATATAGCAAGACCCTGTCTAAAAACAACAACAATAAAAAAAATTTTTTTTTTTTAGATTCTCAGTCAAGGGAAAGGAGTAAATAGGTCCTAAATAATTTTGAGGAAAATGACAAAGCTGGGTGTGATAGTACACAACTGCAATCCCAGCACTTTGGAGGTTGAAGCAGTTATTACAGGCAGCTAATTTTTTTTTTTTTTTTTTTTTTT